TATTCAAAAAAACTCTTATTTCATGACTTTTATGCCTTAAAAGAAAACTGTAAACAAAATACTTATTTCATGGGTTGGATAATAATTACTCCAGTGAAAAGAAGGCGTCATTGTCAGTATGTTGATCCGAAGGACAGCAGACGACAAGTTACTGTATGTTTTTCTATGCCAAATGGAACGGGCAACATCATACAGGTCTATAAAAAATTATTTATGGAAGTTTTTGGGGTGACTAAACGCAGAATTGAGACTTTAGTGGTAAAAAATAAAAAAGGAGAGACTGTGTTTAATTAAACACGTGGTAATACACAGAAGAGAAGCAAGTTTACATATATACATAAAAACCTTATAATAGAGCATGTGAACTCCTTTCCGAAAGATGAAAGTCATTACGGGAGAAAAAAAAGCCAAAAAGAATACTTGAGCCAAGATTTAAATATAAGTAGACTTTTTCGTTCGTTTAAAGACAAATTTCCTGATTCTCCTGTCACCTACAGGTTTTTCTTTGAAACGTTTAAACAAAAATGCCCAAATATATCTTTCCATAAGCCACGTATAGATACATGCAGTAAATGTGATTTATTAACAGCGGAAGTAGAATATAGAATAGCGAAACCTCAAGACAAACATGCTAAAAATATGTTAGAGCTTCATCACAAAAAAGCTGAAAAAGCTAGGAAAAAAATTAAACGAGATACGACTTTGTCTCAGCTCCCTATCAGCGATGTCTGCATGTTTTCTATGAACTTAGAACAGGTCTTATCATTGCCTTCATTAAACCACAATCATATGTTTTATTCGCGTCAGTTGTCCTGTTACAATTTAGGTGTACATTTTGGTGACAGTAATAAGGGGCATATATTTTTATGGCACGAAGGAATGAGTGACCGCGGAGGAAATGAAATCGCTTCATGTGTTTTTGAAGCATTGAATTCTAATCCAACCGTGAAACGTAAACTATTTGGTCCGATAACTGTATTGGACAGAATAAAAACAAGATGCTATTATTTCTTTGGATATTTTTAACACTCACAGATAAATTTGACGAAATTAACCATACGTATCTAGTGTCTGGGCATTTATTTCTGTCCTGTGATAGAGATTTCGCCCAAATTGAATAACGTAAAATAGTCAAAAAGTGTGAAGTTCCAATGGACTTGGTAAAACTCATGGTTCACGCCACACCAAATAACCGGTTTATAGTCACTTTGTTGAAGCCCAATAATTTCTATGATTTCAAAAAAGCAGCAAATATGTACTTAAATACCGGAAAACTTCAAATTTCAAAATGTTCTTGGCTCAAAATAACAAAAAAGAAGCCTGGTGTGGTGCAAACAAAAGCTACTTTCAGTGAACTTGAAAGTTGGAGCGCGTGCAAAGTCCTCAAAAAAGGGGTGAATGTTAACACAATAAAAGAAATGGATTTACCGTACTTGGTTTGTGAAAATAAAATATCAGTTGAAAAAAAAAAGATCGTCAGCAAATGCTACCATTTCTTAAAAAAGAAAATAAATTTTTTTTTGAACTATTAAGTAAATTAAGTTATTTTTTTTACTCTAAATTTTTTTATTATTTGTAAAGACTAATTACTTAGTATATAAAACTAAAAAATATTAAAAATATTTCAACTAAATCTGTTTAATTTGTAAAAAAATAAAAAAATTCTTTATTTGGCACTTGGCACGTTTTTACTTATTACTTATATTGCATTGACTTAACACGTTTTAAAATTTTTTTAGTATAAGATTTTTTTTTTTAAATCAAGGAGTAAAATAAAACTTTTATTTTGCATGACTTGGGTAAAGTATAAGTTAAAAAAGGGTCTTACATTTTTATTGACTTATATTTTTACATTTTTCCTCTGGTTTAACAAAAATTGTGAATAATTCAAAATCAACTTTTTGGCATTTAGCCCGTTATTGATTTCAAATCCATAATTATTATTATAATTATTATAATATATAATAATACTCCAGGCTAATTATTTATTTATTTATTTGCATAAACTATTTTTTAGCTATTAATTTACGAGTATTGACCACTTATTAATTTTTAATTTAATTTTTTTGTTATATGATTATGAAATCAAGTAACCGCGCGCGTTTTCAGTTCCTAAAGATCAACATAATAACAACAATACATGTACTCGCACTCCGCGCAATCGAGTTTAAACAACAATAGTTAACCACCTACGTTGTTGGAAGCCGTACTATAGAAATAAATATCAATTAATAATATTGATTTGGCCATATGGGGTATCGATGATCGCGTGGGCCATAGCTACGAGTAGGCCTGGACGAGCCTGCTCGCTTGCGATAACTCATCCTTTGTTCCGATTTACGAATCACCTATAGGTCAATAAATGTCGCATTTGATATGAGCCGCAGACCGTTTTGTGTCGAAATGATCCATTTTCATAAAAACATAAAAACATGAGTTCACGTGCACATGAGTGGGATGGGGGACGTTTGTATGTAATTTGTGTCATTTGGGCGAGAAATAGGGGTAACGTATAACTACTGGTATGGCGAACGTTTTTCGATATATATTTATATCAGCCACAGCGATAGTTAACACTGGCACGGTATTATTTGATTGATTAAAAAAAAAAAAAAATATATTCCAATGGTTACTGTGTGATGTCACAAAAAACGTACTATTTTTGTTTTGGCTACAGATGGAAGAAATTATATTTACCTTTTTTTCTAGTTAAAATAATAAAAAATTAAATTAAAATTAGTAAATGGTTAATATTCGTAATTAATTAATAGATAAATAAAATAAAATATAATAAATATTGACTGATTTATGTTAATATATTCCTTCCTTTATTTTTTTATATTCAGTCGCAATTTTATTAACTTTGTTTATACCTGATGAATGATGAATTTTTAATTCAAAACCCGTAATACTTTATAAATGCATATCATAATAATATACTCCAGAATTGTATTATATACAAGCTTTTATTTGCTTATATGTTTATTTATTTATATATTTTTTGAAGTTTTAGAGCGATCCCTTTGATACATTATCAGTACATATTATTTATGTAAACGTAGAATATTATAGTATGGTATATCAAAGCTAAAATAGAATTACTAAATGCATATCATACCAGATTGGTGGATCCTACATGTTCTTGTTTATTTTAAAAACAAATTACGAGAATAATATTTTAAATTCTGATATTTATTTTACTTTATTATTATTGTTATGCTTAGAATGCGGATTTATATTCTTTTAAAATAACCAAAATATCATGCTTATGTTCTATTACAAATTTGAATGTAATACTTGTAATAATCATGAAAAACATTTGAAAACTTTAAAAAAATAATTTTATAACATCAAAATATGTATTTATATACAAAACAAAATTAATAAAATATTAATTAATAAACACGAGTTTTTTATTTTTGATCTTAAATTTCAAGACAAATCAACAAAAATAAAAAAATAAATAAATAAAAAAACAATCTTTTGTTAAAATAAATAAGAATCATCCTTTCAATTGTACCACCTTGATGATAGTTTAATAGTTTTTTAATACTGTCGGGTTCACGCGGGCTTAGTACTAAGCCAAGTCACTAAAGCAAGTTTCTGAATTGTTCTACTTGTTAAAATATGAACACGATAACTATTACTAATCCCAGAACTGGTTTTAGTAGATATTTTAGCCATGTTATACAGTTATATTTTGTCGGCCAAGTAGGACTTACTATTCGCACTCGTTTAACTACTAAACCATTGCTGACACCAATATCACTCATACATTTAGTAAAATCACGCATAAAATTCGTTATCAGTGTCATTTCGTTATCATTCTGTGATATATTATTAAATATTTCTCTCGATATTGGTAAATTTAGCTACATCATCAATCGCAAGTTCACTTTAAACTATAAACTAATAGCACCAAGTGTATTTCTCCTTTTCAGCTATTTTACTATCCAAATTCTTTTCTTTCGTTCTAGTTCCTCTTCTATTAAATCTTTTAATTCTTCGCTAATTATTGATATACAATACTTTGATATCAGTTTTACTGTATTTGCTTTATCCATTTATTTATAATTAAAAATATGAATTTTTTCTAACAATACTATAAAAATACTATCTTATCCTAGGTTAAGACAAAAAACTTAACAAAACTTTTAAAACAGATATACTAAAAATTAAAATTAATATAATAGTGATTTAAAATATATTGACTTTGGTGCAACAAAGCTCATCACTAGAATGAACAATAATCAATTTTACTAAGTTATGTTAAAACACACACTAGACGAAATTTAATAATCGATTTAGCAACTTGACCCAGTACTAAAACCGTGTAAATCCGGCTTAATAAGTAATAATTATTTAACACTTGGTTGGTACTAACCTAACCTCAATCGTTTTCATGTAAGCTGCCATGCTGTCGAAGTAAACCTAATCAGACATTTTCCACTAGGCGCGCAACGGTATAGAGTCACTGTTCGTAGTGGTAACAAATATTCTTAATTATTCACAAGGCGTTTTATTGCAATAGTTGATATGTTTATATATTTTTTAATTTGTAGAAATATTTAAATATTTATATTTATATTTTAATTGATGAAATATGCTACAATATGACTTTATATGAATGTATTCTGTTAACGTTCATTGACATATCTTACTCCTATGATTGTGCATACATCCACTAAAAACATATTTTTACACAACAATAGTTATTATAATTAGACATTGTAGAATATTTCGAAAAAATATTTATTACGGAAGAATACAGATTTTCATTATGGGAAATTTACGTAATTTACACAACAAAAGTTTATATTCCTTATCGCAATAAATATTTATAGGTATTGTTGTTGTGGTATATCATCAGCTATGAGTATTACCACTTCGATTTTGAATTTTCTTACGATATTTTTATTCTAGTTGCAGAAAACTACAAATGTAATAGACTCTGTAACTAATTTGCCCATTGTTTCATCGATCATATGTGATTGACTTACTTTATGATATGCCCGGTCGGTATTTAAATTACTTCTTGAAAAAGGACAGACCAGAAATCCATTACTGCAATCAAAACAATCGTATATCATATTATAATAACAACATAAGTCACATTTTTTTCAACAAAAATCATAATATTGCTTGAACTTAATGTTTATAATTTGATTTTATTGTACAATGCAAATATCAGAAACATTTTAATTAACAATGGTATTTCGTTTTCTAATTAAAAAAAAATAAAATAGTATAGTGAAAACATTTAACTTTTTATATAACAATACTATTCATATTTGTGAACAATAAAAATATTATTTTTTTCCTTACACAACTTTCTATAACTGTTTATATAATTTTTAAGTATATATTAGTGCAGATGAGATCCACGAAAATTCTATATATTCAAACTTAAAAGATTACAAACAGGTTGATGAATAATTAATAAACGAAAAAATAAAGGATTTATTGCATGTATAATAAATATTGATACTTATTTGGATCCTATCCCTAGTAGGGAATGCAAATATTATCTGTGCTACTGATTATGTACACAATCTTATTATATTTCAAATATAAATAAAAAAATACAGAATACCTAACATAATTATATGTGGAATACGATCAGCACATACGCTATTATAATAATGCATACATTTGGGAACGAAAAAAAAAAATTTAACTAAATTTAAACTTAAAGTAGTAAGCATATTGAACGTCATATTTTATTTGTATATACTTGTAGAAAATGGTTCTATTAATAGGTAAAACATATTAAACGTATATTATTATATCCATGCATTGACTTGATTCGAGTATGATTAAATTCCTAATAAATTCTTGACGTTTAAATAATTCTCTATTGGGAAACTATTTATGATATGCAATGATAGTACATAATATAATATACATATCTTAGAGATCTCAATATTATTTAATATAGAATCTATCACGAGGACTTCGTTAAGTCAAACTAAATTTCCATAACTAAGTATAACATCCAACGGTGATTCGTTATGATTTTATAATTTTAAAATGATAATTACCGAAGTATATGTAAAAGTAAGAGTATCAAATTATTGCAATAATAATCGTAATAAATGTAAAAACAAATTAAAATTAGAGGAGAGAAAAAAAGAAAAAAATAGAACAAATTTATAACGAATGAATTAAAAAGGTAATTTTTTATATTTTTATTATTCTTTTTTTTTTAAAAAAATTTATTTGTAATAAATGAAATTTTATAACTATATACTAGTTTCTATTTAGAATTAATAGTTTTTTATGAATAGTCTATAGCATTTCTCATTTATCATACACTATGCAAAATACGCACGTAAATACAAAGAAGTAAATATATAATTATTAAATACCAAAAAGGTATTAATAATTTGAGTTAAAATTGTTGTTTTTCATATAACCTTTAATATAACATAACCTAACCTAATCAATATGCAATATTGGTAAAAAAATAATGTATATTTTTAAAAATATACCATTCGGGTGGAGTAAAAAAGAACGATCTATACCAAAAATACTACTTGTATAAATATGTGAATTATGGATAAACTGAAGACAATAAGTAAATATTTTTTCCAAAAACAAATATCAATTTTAGATTTATTCTCATTGAATATAATATATGATAATTAAATAACAATAAATTGTATAGATATATGTGTTATGTCCAACCTATGAATGATAAAAAACTACTATACTACAGTAGCATTACAAATAAAAATATTTTCTAACTGTGATCAAAACAAATACTTGAACTCCTCAATAGATTTAATAGTAAACAGTATGAAGTGCAGTTGAAGCTCCGAATGTAATATAGAGACTACGCGATAATAATATATTAATATTTAATCAAGGATCAATCGATGTCATACACTCGATATAATATTATATTCAAACGGGGATCATAATATTATGTCCACTCGCATTTTCAAGTGTAGTAACAATTCATATGTACGTACAAATATATGTTTGCGTTTGTGTGCGCATGTGTGTATGAATTGTTACAAAGGTTTTTAAAATCATTCACGTTATATGTTCAAATGAACAATTAAAATGAAAACCATTATTATCGTTGTTATGTAAGTGCCTGATCATTTGTTAAATATTCGAAATGCAATTTAATAATAATAAACATTTAAAAACATTAAAAACATTCGTTTTTAAAATAAATTAACTATAATACGACTGTTTTAAATATTATACAATAATTTAAAGCAGGGTTTCAAAACATAATGATTTTTTGTGGTTAATGGTTTTAGTTCATCTACTATTTTATTCGGTTTTAAAAACTAATTAATATTGATTTTATATTTTATAGTTTTTTAAAACCGGTTTTAAATGTAATAAAACCGGTTAATTTTGTTCTTTTAAAAAATATATATTTTTATAACAATTTTATCCTCAGACAACTCATTGTCATAATTATGAAACAAATAATTAAAAAAATTAACTATCATGAGATATTCTTAAAATAAGTTCATAATTTATACATTTATATTATACTTTTTTTTCAGCTTTAAAGGCCGTATATTAATATACAATAAATAATATAATACAAATTTGTAAGTTTTTATTACAATATTGAATATACTAACACACATAATGAAAAACATAACTGCAATATTTATTATTGAGTAAGACAAAAAAGAAGAACCATATTAATTCAAAATTTTGAACAAATTTACAAATATTTGATACAATTTAAGATAATACCATCGTCCATTAAAAGTGGTATTGTAACAATAAACAATGTGGTTTTTGGTTGTAATTAATCGTGTTCACGTATTATCTACAGAAGTGTGGGGTTACAACCAATAGTCCCACTTACCAACTGTTCAATTTTTATTTCGCAAATTATTTTATATTTATCTAATATTTTTTACCTGTCTTTTGTCAAACAAAATAGGTTGACCAACTTAACAAAATGTGTAAAAACTAAAATTAAATATTAATTATTTTTCGTAATTAAAAATGTATTTATTTCCGTTCGAGAACAAAAAATACTCTTTAGGTTAACTATTTTGTTTTCATTCTATAAAATTAATAATTGTGGTTCCATTTTTGTTTTCGTTCATACACATTTTCCAATAAAACCGGTTAGTAAAAAAACGGTTTTAACCAGTTTGAAGCCCTCAATTAAAGTGACAATACTTATTTGGAATAAAGGCAGTGTTCATTTTGATCATTTCTACTACAGTAGTCTCAAACAAACACATACCATACTATAAAAATAAATCATTAAAACGTATTTAATGACATAGTTAAAAATAAAGAATATTTTTTCTCTAAATTGTTATTTATCATAAGTTTTCAAAAATGTGTTGAATTATTTTTTGAAAGTGCATTTAAATAATTGAATAATAATATTAATAAATAATAATAATCACATTTTACAATATATAGAACGTGATATATATTTATATTACATAAGTAAGTTTATTTAAATATTCAGAAAATTAATGTAATGTTTATGAATAAAATTTACACCATTAACTCTAGTCTTGAAGCTATGAATGATTTAGCATATTATAATGGTGTTAAGGAGAAGCTCAAATTTGTAGCGCAGGTACTAACAATTAAAAATGTAATTATACAATTGTTTGTATCCACCCTAAACGAGGGATTCACGGTAGAAGTCACGGATACGTATAAACTATCATTAATAAAATCATATTTAAACTAACAAGATATATAACGTCACAAAAAAGAAACAAAGATGAAACTTGCATTGTAGGCAATAATTTGGTTTCTGATGATAACCGTGTCGATACATAGCATATACAAAGCATTTTATAATAGATTATTTAAGTATTCAGTATAATGTCAATACATTTTTTTTATTTATCCACCCTGAATTACTGTGTCGAAAAAGTAATGCGCAAATAATTTTAGATCAACGTTTTATAAAATGAAATTGTTGAACGTGAATATGTTTTTTTTTGATGAAATATTCTAAAAAAAAAAAAAACTAAAGAAAACCAGACATTGTATAAACATGTAAGTACCAAACTATTCAGTAAAGTTCATTAGATTTATTATAAATATTACATTGACTTAAGAAGTTTTGAAAACCTATTCGCTCCATACTAATAGTAATTTCCTTTACTTCTCAACTAATATTAAATTTGTCTCCTCATAAAATGTATGTTTTTCGCTCATTATTTCTCACTGAACTTAAAATGACGTTTAAATATTTTAATAATAATACTTGAAAAACTTTCACACACCTTTTATATAATCTATATATACTTGTGTAATAATCGTGGGAGTTAGTTTTCCTAATAAACTCGATAATGTTTATTTAGCTTATTTGATGAAATAGATTGTTTATAGTTTGCTCGAATTATTTGAATTGTTTTTTTTTTTTAATATGTTGCTTAAGTTTATACAAATTTGAATTGAATTTCATACTAAATAAAAATTATTTAGACTTATGTTTTATAGATATTAATGAAAAAAAAAATGCTCCAGATATTTTGAGTTATATTTTTCTATGGTTATTTAACTTTTGTAAATAGTTAACGATATAAATAAAATAATTTAAAACAAAACTGTAAATAATATTTCCAGTGTAGTATTAAATTTTTGATACAAGCAATTCGTGTAAAAATTATTTGATCAAAATGATTTTTAAATGTGCCATTATACAATTTATGGAATATTTACATGACATGCATACATTTAAAACAACTATTATACTCGTATATATATGTTACGGCTAGTGTCCGAAGGATGGCTAATATTAAGATTAGCCGTTTAATCTTAATTTTAGACAATATTTTTGGCTAACGTCACAATTTTGGACTTCAGCCACCAAAAACAAATGGATAATCTTAACACTAGCCATTAAAACCAACATTATCCAACCATAATCGACTAATGACCAAGTAACATAAACCATAGGTAAATTAAAAATTTAAAATTATTTACAATAATAATACAATATTTTGAAATAGTAATTTTCATGAATATTGATATGTTGGGTAGTTGTATAGAAATGAGCCATGCATGTGGTAAGTAAAATATTTTCAATAATATAAATATTGTAC